TATAATTGTTGATTAGTATAGATTATTGGTGAGAAGACTCTTATTTCATTATTGATAATTTATCTATCAATTCATATTAGTGTAATGTTTATAATAGTTTGTTAGTGATCGTTTTGCATTTCAACCTAAACTAAGAGTTTATAAATGGAGTTAATGCTTAGTTTGTGGGCAACCTTTTTTACCTCGCTCTAGATTTCAATTATCCTAAAATGTGTTTTGGTTATGTAGAATATGGTTGCACAAAATGTAGTTTTGTTATGCCGGTGGGGAGGTGAAATTCTGTTTGATGGACCCCATGTCGAGTATAGTGGAGGAAATATGGAACCACTAACACTTGAACCGAACATGACTTTCAATGATTTGATGAACAAGGTTCATAGTAGTATTGGTTCAAACCCAAGGAATGTTGAACTAAACATTAAAATGAGGTTTGAGACTGGCAATGGGGTTCAAGTGTTACCTGTTTCTACGAATAAGCATTTGAAAGCTTTAAGGAGCGCTGTTGCAATGAAGGGTGTTCCCACTGAGATATATGTTGAAATGGTGCCTATATGTACCCAACAAAGTACTCGGCCAGAAAAACAATCTACATATATTTTCGGTTACAACACATAGCCTTCCAAGTGCCCTCACACGACATTCCATCAACTGAATATGGGGTGGGATCTTTCAGTCGAATACTGCACGACGATCAATTTCACATGCCGTTTAGGTCTCATATAGCTTCACCTGTACATGGGGGCATATGTGGCAATGACCGGGAAACCTGGGCCTTCGACATCAAACACCGTCACACCTTCACCGATGCAATTGCATAGTTATTCGCCTATGCAAGATGATGTTCAAGCATCGCCGTCTCAACTTGTGCCAATTCATCTTTGAAACTATTGTGAATAACGAATTGTCAGTGTATGATGTGTATACAAATGATGAGGCCGAGAGCGGAGAGGAGGAAGATGGACTTCAGAACATGGATGTTGAACCTGCACACGTGGAAGTTGGCGAGCCCTTGGTTAGAACTCCCATACCTTGGTTCAGTCAGGTAAACGAGAACTATGAAGTTGATCAGTATTGGGCCAAATCGGGTAGCCATACTTCGTTTGTTCCCGAGGGAGAATTTGAGAAGGGGATGTATTTTGAAAGTAAGAAAGTGCTTCAAGAAATGGTGAAGATGTATTCTATATAGAGGAATCAATTCTACACCACAATGACATCGAATGAGAGTGTCCTTCATTTGCGGTGCAAGAAGAAATGTGGTTGGATGCTACGGGGTACCAAATCAAGTGAGCGCTCGCGTGGCTTTACCCTAGTCATGTACAAAGGCCCGCACCGGGAGAACTATGTCACTGAAGTACTATCTACTGATCACCCGCACTTGGATTCGTCCATAATATCAGAGTAAGTGAAGTCCTTTGTGCGGAAAGATCCGTCCTTGAAAGTTGAATTCATACAGGAACTCCTCTCCAAGAAATTTCATTTCGATGTTCCGTATCGAAGAGCATGGTACGCCAAGGAGAAAACAATAGCTAAAATACTTGGGGATTGGGAGAGTTCTTACGGCAGACTTCCGTACTTCATGCAAGCACTCCAACAGTCAAACCCGGGAACGTGTGTCGTATGGAAACACAAAGCTCTGGTGGACAGTGTATACTACAACAACATGGAAGTGTTTGAATGAGTGTTTTGGGCCTTCAGTCCTTGTATCGACGGTTTTAAACATTGTATGCCTGTTATTTGTATCGATGGGACGCACTTGTACGGGAAGTACAAAGGAACACTGTTGGTTGCTACAAGTGTGGATGCAAGCTTCCAAGTATTTCCGCTAGCTTTTGCGGTGGTTGAAGGGGAAAACACTTCCAGCTGGTCTTGGTTCCTAGGCTGCATTCGAGTTCATGTCACGCAACGAGATGGCCTCTGTGTTATATCTAATCGACATCCTAGGATCATTGTAGCAGATCTTAACGTTGGATTCACCGAGCCGCGAGCCTATCACAGGTTTTGTGTTTGCCACATAGCTTCTAACTTGAAGACTCACGTGCGAAGCAACGAAATAAGAGATATGTTCAAAACTGTGGCGTACCAAAGGTAGGAAAGAAAACTTCAAGCTGATCTGTGTTTCATCGGTGAGGCATGTACCAAGGCCATGGAGTATATTGTTCAAGTCCCGTTCACTATGTGGTCTCTCTTTCACAACGCTGGTCACAGATATGGGATATGTACTACAAACTTCTCTGAAACATTTAATAATGTGTTGAAGGGAGCTCGGTTTCTACCGATCATGTCCCTTGTCGAGTTAACTTTCCATAGAGTTAACAGGTATTTCACTTTGAGAAGGGAGTCTTCTGAGGCTAGGTCTAAAAAGAGACTTGCATACCCCTCCAAGGTCACTGCCATTCTGGAGAAGAACACCGCTAAAGCCAGATATCACAGAGTGGATGCATATAACCGCCGATTGCATATTTACCAAGTTACAACAGAAAGGGGAGAGCAACTTGGTAGTAAAGGAGGTCATAAACATACTGTCAACTTTCAGTTGAGAACGTGGACATGCAACAAACCAAAGATATTCCACCTCCCATGTTCTCATGTTCAAGCAGTCTGTGCGACGTATTCACTATCAGAGCTGCCGTGGGTGGACCTTGTGCTGCAATCGGAGGCCTACATGAACACCTATGCACCACAATTATGGCCTATCCCCTACGAGACAACCTGGACGCAGTATGTCAGCCCTAAACTCATTCCTGACGGCAGCATGGTACGTGGAAAAGGGCGGCCAAGGTCAAAACGCATACGCAATGAAATGGATGAGACTAATCGGCCCCCAAGAAAATGCAGCCACTGTCACCAGCAGGGTCACAACCGGACACCGTGTCCATCTAGACCGGCATAGGACCTAAGTTTGTATTTGTTATTTGTTGTATTAGTAGAAAGTAGAATTATTTTGTATCAGATTTTCTAAAGTTTGTAACATTTGTAACATTTGGATCATCTCTACTTTCTACTTTGGATGTCATTTGAAATTTTCTGTCTTTGCCTTTAACTCGTCCATCTTATGTTTAATTGCTAATCCAGTAATTATGTTTGTATTTGGTATATAACGTTTTCAATGAACATATATCATGAACGGAGAAGATAGGACACCCGGACCTGTTGACCCTTTTGTCCTGACACTACAGGACAAACATCAGAGCGTCGACATATGGGACCAGACGGTAATATTTCATCCGTTATTTCATGTACTTTTGTTTGATACAATGATGTACTATCTAATATTAATTACGGTCGTACAATGATTTTTCAGGTTGATGTAACGAAGATGCTGGTTTGCAGGCACTACACTACCAGGGTTATGGCCGACTAGGTTGTCGATCCACGCATTATTGTGTACGTCGAGTACGCTGGCTTTGGTGGTATTCATCGGATGGCGTTCAGAGAGATCGATCGAGCGCTTGTCACTGCGCTAGTTGGGGAGGCGACCGTTACGTTGCGGGACGTCGCGATACTCACGTGCCTTCCTATACATGAGACTACGGTGACAAGACATGCGTTAGTCGATCCCGCTGGTTTGGTACCCCGGGTCCTTGAGGTTTAGCCGGGTCCCGACGACATCAGGGGCTCCGGGTTGAGGATCGGCTGGATACGCGACACTTTTCGTGCGCTACCTGCGGACGCTGATGATGCCACGGTTTAGAGACACGCTCGAGCATACTTGTTCCTGCTCATATCGGACGTGTTGTTCGGCAACAAGAGCGGGAGCCATATCCAGCTTATTTACCTACAGCTGCTAGACCACGACTAAGACCATATCCGTGGATACAGCTGGGGTAGTGCCTATTTGGCAACGTTGTATCGCCACCTGTGTAGAGCCTCCCACCGTGGTCCAGTCAAGATTGGAGGACCTCTGATTGTGCTTCAGGTAACCTACCTAATTACCCACAAGCTAGTTTGGCAGTGACTTACGTTATACTTAACATAGTTTTGTATTTTGGTATTACAGTTATGGGCTTGGGAGCACATCCATGTAGGCAGACCAGGTAGGCCTGCTGTACATCGTCGGGGGCAATAGGACCGGGACGAGCAGTACGAGGCGTACATCGCTCCACCGCTCCCTACACCTGATGAGGCGTACGGTTTCAGGTTTGTAACATTTGTCATTCTTTTTTGCCCTCATACGGTTTCATTTTGCTGGATGACAAACTAAAACAATTTGTTGCCATAGGTGGGTGGTCCCCAGACTCACACATGTGCATGCAGCGAAGGGTCTTCCGTACTACTGAGACGCCCTAGACCGACTCACTGAGGATCAGGTGGTAACTTAAAAGATACTTGTAAACATTTATGTACTGTGTATACTGTCTGTGGACTAACCTATTCATGATATTACTGTTGCTGTGTTATTGCAGATGAAATGGGATCTGTATGTACCTGACTTGGTAGATGTCATGCCTACATATCTGCTGGATCATCAGGCGGAGTGGCGTGCCAGGGTCCCCCTGATCTATTTCAAGGTTGTGGAGAGTCACCTACCCGACCGAGTCATGAGACAGTTTGGACTATGCCAGCCTATCCCCCAGCAGTCTAACACTAGTGTAAGCCTTCACGGCATTGACTGTTGGGGGAAGGGGGAGATAAACTAGTCACTGAAGCATTGGCATTTCCTTGAGCTATGGCAGCAACAATTGGAAATCGTAGGTGATCCGATGTAGGGCGTTATGGATCCTCACGATCCGTACATGGTGTGGTACAAGCGTATTACACGACGTTTCATTAACCCCAGCTACACACCACCATCCACACATTACCATCCAGCATATGACATCATTAGCGGATACATGAGTATCTTTTATTCTACTTATTGTCCTTAATTTTTAAATTTCTATATCATACAACTGACTGATTGATGAATACTGCAGGCGGCGGATATGGTGGCGATGGTTGATGCACTATCAGTCGCCATTGCATGAACACCCACCAGAGCCCAGGTTGAGCGGGTGCGAGATATGGGCATCGCTACCTTACAGAGATATGGTCACGGCTATCTCCTCCACCAGCGGGACAGTCATGATGGCCACTCCGTCCATTCACAGTTCGAGCTCGGCCAGAGTAGCGGTGGAGGTGATCCTACGTCACCCAGAGATGCAGAGGATTACATCATCCACAGTACTGCGCCCAGCGGTACCTAGGAGGACCCATCGTCTAGCCACAAGACTCCCCCACCGCCCCAAGACCCATTCACCACCATTACTCATTACAGGACAACAGACAGGATACAGAACCGTTACCCCGAATAAATGAGTCGGGATAGTATTATCTGTTTTATTTGCTATAGCCGGATATTCTAAAATGATGTATATAACACTTACATTATTAATATAATAAATGTTTTTTGAATGAATCTGTGTGTCGTTTGAAGTTTAATATCCTTATTTGTCCAAATTGGACTTATGTCAGTCAAAATACACTACAAGAAAATAGCTGGATTCCGACGGAATTTTTCCGTCGGAAAACGGCCTTCCGACGGAATTCCATCGGAATTAGTCTGTCGCAATACCCTTTGTAGGAAATTCGACGTTTTCCGAGGGAAATTCCGTCGGAAGCCACTTTCCCGACGAAATTTCCGACGTATTCCATTCTGTCGGAGCTGGTTTTGACTTTAAACGAAATTCCGTCGCAATTTTCCAACGGAAATTTCCGTCGAAAGAGGTGTATTCCGACAGAAATTTCCGTCGGAAAAATCAATAATAAAAAAAAAACGCCTCCACCACCCCCACCACCAGCCCACACCACCAGCCCCACCAGCCCCTCTACCACCTTAACCCACCTCACCAGACCCACCCACCTGACCGAAACCCACCTCCCCACCTCACCAGACTCACCCACCCACCTCACCGAAACCCACCTCCCTACCTACCACCGTAACCCACCTCCCCACCTCACTAAACCCACCCACCTCACCAAAACCACCCAAAACAACACCGAAACCCACCTCACCACCGAAACCCACCTCACCACCCAAAACAACCACCGAAACCACCCAAAAAACATTAAAAAAATCCATAATTCACCACCACCATATATTTTCAAAAAAATCAGAAAAATCAACAAGTTAATTAAAATCAAAATTAAGAAGAAAAAAAGAGACACATACCTTAATTTGACAAAAAAAACGTCGAAATTGGGTTTATAAGGTCAAATTCGACCATAAAAACTCTAGATCTAGAGTTTTCATGGTCGAATTTGACATGAAAACCTTAGTTTTTATTAAAAATCTTGAAATTACCTTGAGTTGAAAACCAAAGAAAACGAAACGAAAAAGAAAAGAAAGAGGGGAAGAGGAAAGAGAAAGAGGGGAAGAGGAGAGGAAGGAGAAGGGGAAAGAGGGAAAGAGGAAAGAGGAGTGAGGCGCCGAGGAAGGAGAAGGCCGGAAAGGAAGGAGAAAGAGGGGAAGAGGAAAGAAGAGAGGAGAGAGATTGAGAAGAGAGGCGGGAAAGAAGAGGAGAGGAGAGAAAATAGGGTTTTCGGGTTTTTAAACCCGTTTTTTTTAAACCAAATTCCGTCGGAATGTCATTTAATTCCGTCGGAAAATCTAAATTCGTTGGAAAGTTCCGACGAAATTTAAATCCCTCGAATTCACATTTTTCCGACGGATTTTCCTGTCCGCCGGAACAAGTCCGTCGTAAATCTCCCTGTTTCTAGTAGTGATATATCTTTCTAGGCCGATATATATCAAACAGCAGACATTTGGGCTCCATAACGAGAAACGGGGTAGAAGCGATAGCCCGTGGTGGTTAATGTGGTGGTCCATGGTGGTTGTAGTGCTGTTGGTGGTGGTTGGTGGTGGTCGACGGTGGTGATAAGGTTGGGGATGGTGGTAGAGGTGGTTGTAGTGTTGTTGGGGGTGGTTGGAGTGTTTCGAAGTGCATAAGGGTGGTCAAAAGTGGCGGGAGGTGGTGGTTGGTGGTGGTCGATGGTAGGGGTTGGTGGTGGGGGTGGTGGTTGAGGGTGGTGGCTTATTGAAGGCTGGGGGTGGTGTGTTGGGGCAGAAATGGGGCAGATATTAGAGAAGAAAGCCTACTGGCCGCTGGTGTTGCAGTCCAGCAGAAAAACACTATCTGAGACAGCGTTTTATGTACAAAAAAAAATTGTACATAAGACGCTGTCTGGGACTACGTTTTATGTACAAAATTTTTGTTGTACATAAACCGCTGTCTCAGACAGCGTTTTATGTGCAACAAAAATTTTATACATAAAACGCTGTCCCAAACAGCGTCTTATGTGCATTTGATTTTTTTTTTTTAAAAAAAAAAACAGAAAATAAGAATTTTTAAAATTAAAAAAAAAAGTCAATAGGTAAAATGCTGTCCCAGACAGCGTTTTACGAATTGAATTTATTTTTTAAAAAAACCAGGGCATAAAACGCTGTTTGAAACAGCGTTTTACTCTGAAAGCTTAGTTTGGTAAATAGTTTTGCCACGCAACCAATTTGCAAAATAGTTCTTTTTTTAAGCTCACTTTGGGGAAAATTCCTCGTGCATGTATAAGTTAGCTTGAAGACGGGTGCAAATCAGAAAACTACCCATGGCAAGGGGTTGTGACTCGTGTGAGTAGCAAACCGGTACCGGTGTATCAGAAGATTTCCCATAGCAAGGGATCATGAGTTGCAAACAAGAGTACTAGAGAATTACCTACTAGTATATGATTAGCGACATATCTAGATTCACTAATTGATGTAAAAGATAGAAGAGAAATAGTGCTCACATGTTCATAGACATACATGTGTGGCACAATTATGCACAATTTTATACAATAATGACATTCAGTAACCCAAGGCTAGGCTATATACATTTGAATGATTTGACAATCACCAAAGCCGCTAAAGAGGAGAGAGGGTAAATTGAATATTTTTTTAAATAGGAAGATAAACAAGAAGTTAGGATAGTCTTCTCTCAAGACTATACCCTAACTTATCAGAAAAAATAAAAACAGAAAATTTACTATCTATGAATGGATCAATATCTTGGTGAACTTGCATAAAATGTCCCAATGAAGCAACATAGTCTGCTACTCTATTACCCTCTCTATAAATGTGGCGCGAATCTACATAAGTGAAATTTCGAATCAGCTCCTTGACATCTTCCATCAGTAGCTGAATTTTCCATAGGCACTAAGTCTTTCCCTGTAAAATATTAATAATAAGCAAATTACCCCCTTCAATAAATACTTTTGAAATATTATGGGCCTGTGCCAAAAGAAGAACATTATGAAGGGTCGTAGCTTCTACAATAAGAGGAGTACTCATACCAATATTAAAAGAACGACTACAAACATTATTTCCTAAATTATCTCTTAGAACAATGCCTACAGTCCCTAAACCATCCCGAACAGAACCATCAAAATTTATTTTAATAACACCAGGCGGAGGGGGCGACCAAGAGACACGTATATTCCTGGGGGTAGGATGAGAAGGAAGAGCGAAGAGTCGAGATAAGAACGGAAATTCCATTCATGATAAATTTTTGGGCAAGAGAAAAATGGCCATATGAGAAAAAGGAATTTCATCAAAAATCACTGAATTCCTAGTTTTCCAGATACTCCTTAAAGAAGTTATAACCTTTTTATAGACATAGAGAAATTACCCTTTAAAACTTTAAAAAGCAAATAAATACCAGTAGTTAAAGGGACTCGTCCAATCCAACTAATAGTAGCATCAACACTCCAAAATTCAGAAGTATAGGAACAAGATAGAAAAAGATGATCTTGAGTTTCATCATGACAATTGCAGAGAGGGCACATAGAAGGAATATCCAACTGGCGATGAGCAAGATTAGCCCTAGTAGGTAGAGCATTATGAAGAAGTTGCCAAACAAAGATTTTCAATTTTGGAGATATATCAAGTTTCCAAATCCAAGAAAATTCCTATTTAGTATAAGAAGAGATATTATGAGCAAGCCACGTAGCTGATTTGATAGTAAATTCACCATTGTTAGAGAAACTCTAGCAAGGCTCATCTTGAATAACAGATTAGGGAAGTGAGATTCCTTTAATAAGATGGACAATATTAGACGGGACATAAAGAGAAAGAGTAGAAATATCCCATTCATTATTTTCCAAAATAAAATGATTAACAGTAAGATCTAGGTTTTGGATATTCGAAGTATCTAAATTAAGCATGGTAATTAAATTTTTAGAAGAGCACCAATTATCAAGCCAGAATAGAACACTACTACCATTACCAATTTTCCATCTAAGGCCACGAAATAGGAGGGGGCGAATTTGAAGAATCTTTTTCCAAATCCAAGAGTCCTTTGGTTGAGGACTATATTCAAAAAAAGGATTTGTGAGCTAGATATTTAGCAGTGATAGAACGAACCCAAAGATTATTTGGGTTAGAGATTATTTTCCAACCTAGTTTAGCTAAAAAGGCGGAGTTAACCGCCTCGGTTTTACGAAGACCTAAGCCACCATAATCTTTAGGTTGACATATTCTATCCCATGAGATCATAAGTATAGATGATTTATTTGGCGATTGTTTCCAGAAAATTTTCTATTAATTTGATCAAGAGAATTAGTAATAGTTTTCGGTAGGCGAGTTGTTGACATAGCAAAAGAAGGCAGCCACTAGTAGAAAAAATGAATTAGACACCGCACTTTTCGCACCGGTTCTTGAAAACTGGTGGTAAGAGAAATGTGCGGGATTAGGGAAAAGACTTTTCGCACCGGTTCCTATTAAACCGGTGCGAAATCATCTTTTTCGCACCGGTTCAAACCGGTGCGAATTACAAAAGAGAAAAAAAATTAAAAGAAAAGGGAGAAAGGGATTTCACACCGGTTTAGTCCAAACCGGTGCGAAAAAGTGTTTTAGCACCGGTTCAAACCGGTGCGAAATTAAAAAAAAAACCGGGCTGTTATATCTCTCTCATCCGCCTCTCTATATCATTCTATCCTTCTTTGGTTCTGCTCTCCTTCTTTCTCATCTCTGGTTCTGCCCTGTTCTCGTTCTGCTCTCATCTCTCGTTCTGCTCTCATCTCTTATTCTCTCTCATCTTTCCTTCCTCTTTCATTCCCATCTCGTTCTGCTTTCATCTCTCGTGTGAGGTCTTCGATTTTCGTTCGAATCTTGTTCGAGTTAAAGCAAGTGGTGAACGGTTAGAGAGACAGTTAGATCGGCGACACCGTCACCTGCAATGCTTCCGACCAAGACACCGTCACCTTTAACGGCTTCCGGTACCGGCGCTTGAGAGGTTTTTTTTCTGTTAAAGCTTACAAAACCCTAATATAAATCTCTTTTTTGCTCAATTTTTTCCCCAATTACAAGTAAGTTTCTTCTCTTTTTCGCTTAATTCATCTTTATATTCTTTTATGCTGTATTTTTTGTTGATTTTGTTATAGATTTAGTTGAAATTTGTGGTATTACGTTGTGTTTTTGATTTTTTTTTAATCTGCGTTTTTTTGCTCAATTTTTTCCCCAATTAAAAGTAATGTTTTTGCTAACCTTGGCTGTGTAGAATCTATAGATTGTGTATTGTGTGGGTTCTTTGATTTTGGAACTTGACTCGTTATTTTGGGTATGGCAGCTTTTCGATTGTGTATTGTGTGGGTTCTTTGATTTTGGTTCTTTGATTTTCGATTGTGTATTGGCAGCTTTTGCTTCATTCAGACAAATTGTTTAGTACTATGCATGGGATATATTATTTGTGAAAACAATACAAAGTATTAAATAATGGAGTCCCTTGAAAAAACAAACTTTGGGAAGTTAGTGAGATAGATTGTGAAGTACATAGAATTTGAGTATTGGGGTTTTGGAAGAGGAGGCCACCCTAGTTGATCTTCTTGATCAATTTACCAAACAAATCAAAATGGAAAAATTGTAAATAATGTGAACAGTAGCCACATGCTATTACCATTTTGCCCCAGGTTTAATGATGGAAAAGACACTTCTACCCTTACCAAACATATACTATTACCATTTTGCCCCAGGTTTAATGATGGAAAAGACACTTTTGCCCCAGGTTTAATGATGGAAAAAACACTTTTACCCTGTTGATTGACAAAATAAATTGATCAACAAGATCAACTTGTATTTTGCCTTGGAAGAGTATGATGAAGTGTAGTCAAAATGACTAAAATTAATATATAGATTTATTTCCCTTCCATTTTCTAGAACTCACAACTCGATTCTTTTCTTTTAATTTCTGTGAGAAATGGTATGCATACTTTGCTATGAGTTAATTAATATTATCTCTTATCCAATTTGTGAATGACAGCAATTAACTAAATTGGACCTATCTTTATTGTTGAAATAGGTATCGTGTCATAACCAGTGCCTACTATCGAGGAGCTGTGGGTGCTTTGCTTGTGTATGATGTCACTCGGAAAGCTACATTTAAGAATGCTGCAAGGTGGTTGAGAGAGCTACGGGAGCACACTGATCTGAATGTTGTGGTCATGCTGATTGGTAACAAGTCAGATCTTCGGCATCTAGTTGCTGTTACTATTGAAGAAGGGAAGGCTTTTGCAGAGCAGGAGGGTCTCGTCTTCATGGAGACTTCTGCTCTTGAAGCAACCAATGTGGAGCTGGCTTTCACTGAGGTTCTTACTCAGATCCATCGTATCGTCAACAAGAAGGTTGTTGATGCTGGTGATGCTTCTGCATCGGCTGTTCCATCCCAAGGAGAGAGTATAAATATAAAAAATGAGACCTCGGCTTGGAAGAAGATAGGCTGCTGCTCAAACTAGTTACTTACTGTAGTAAGTCTTTGCTGTCACACCTTTTTGTTTCGCTGGGAAAAATCCTAACTGGTTGAACTTCTGCGGGTCAGTTCCGTCCCTTGAAAGAAAGAAAGAATAGGAATTTTCATTGTCTATATTATATTTTATTTTTTTGTACGAAAATTGTAATATTACAGCCTTTTTTTAATGAAAATATGTAACTTTATATATTAATAATCAATTTAAGTGAAAAAAATGCAAAAAAAAAAAAAAGAAAAAAATTATTATTATTTTGGGGCATTTTTGACACCGGTTTTGGAACAAAACCGGTGCTAAAATGTTTTTTTTTTTTTAATTTTTTGGCCCACTTTTCGCACCGGTTCAAAGCAAGAACCGGTGCTAAAAGTTTTTTAAAAAAAATATTTTTGGGGACTTTTCGCACCGGTTCACATCAAGAACCGGTGCGAAAAATAAGCTTAAACCGGTGCGAAAAGTCTTGGGATTTGGCATCCCTCAAATCAAACCGGTGTGAAATGGGGGTTTTGAACCGGTGCTGAATAGCAAGTTTCGCCTAGTGCAGCACCTCCAAATTACTTTGGATAACAACGGTCTTACCAGCTTTAGACGTTGTGTTTGAAGACCAACTATTCATTTTTTTTTGTTCAGCTTTGATTATCAGATGTTGAAAATTATGAAAAAGATCAAGAGTTAAATAAAACTCCCAAATACCTGCCTAAGAAAGACTTAGGAGTCATGTTAATATAACTATATAAATTCCTCTTTTTTGAAGAAGGGACCATTTTTTAGAAGACAATAGAAGACTTGTGAAAATTTATCAATTGACCCGAGATGGCGTGAAAATTTATCAATTGACCCGAGATGGCAAAAAATTCCCCTAAAATATTTCGAATATGGGAGCAGGATGCCAAAGTAGCTTTACAAAATAGCAAACTATCATCAGCAAAGAGAAGGCAGGGAATAATTGGAGCAGATGCAGCTAATTAAATTCCTATACCATTCTTCTTTTTCATAGAATCCAAAAGAAGTTTCTTTGAAAGAACTTCCATACAAATAACAAATAAAACTGGGGATAAAGGATCACCTTGACGAAGCCCTCTAGAAGGAATAATCATATTAGACGAATTTTCGATTGACCACTGGAGAGTAAGATACTGTGGTAACACAAGCTTTTAATCTAGCCAATCCACGTGTCATTAAAACCAAATGTAGAAAGAGTTGCCCATAAAAAATCCCATTCAACTCTGTCATAAGCTTTTTCCATATCTAAATTTAGAGCTAACGATCCTGTTTTGTTTTTCGATTTATTAAAATATTCAACACTTCTTGGACCAAAAGGATATGTCAGCTTCATGCACAACAATGCCAATTGGCTTTGAAAATGAGAAGCATGAAAAGGATTTTATGTGCATAATTATTGTACTGAATGTGTATAATTTTTGAACTATATGTGCAAAAAAAAAATAAAAAAAAAAAACTTGACTCAAAGCTGTTATGCATAATTTTTGAACAAAATATGCATAATTTTCATTTTTCCAGAAAATTAGAAAATTTTGGTAGGTTGATTTTTTTTTTTTTTTTTTTTTGCAAATTTAGTTTAAAAAAATGCACATTTTGTATAAAATATATGCACTTTTATATTTTATTAATATTTTGTATACTAGAAAAATTTATTTTTTATATTTAATACTCCCTCCATATTTAAATAAGTGAAACGTTTCTTTTATACATGTATGCTAATATGAAACTTTGTCTGATAATAGCTTTAACTATCAATAAGTAAATATTAAAATAATTAATGTTAATAAACTATTCATTGACAAGATTTCAACAAGTGCCTATAAATATATTTATTCTTATATATAAATCACATACATTAGCAAAGTGAATTAGATGAATATTACAAAAAATCAAAATGTTTCACTTATTTAAATACAAAGGGAATATAGTGTTAATTTATAAAATAGTTATTGAAAATATTCATCTGAATCAAAATGTATCTTATCAAACCGTGCATGATGCTCTGTTCACTTCACCTTACAAAGGTAATATTCATTATAAATAATTTCAGCTTAGTAAAAATAATTTTATTTAAGTAACAATAAGTTCAGTTCAGTAAAAATAATTTCATATCAGTAAAAATGAGTTCAATTCAATAAAATCAGTTACTTTAAGATTGAAATATACTACATAGATAATAATATAAATAATTTCAGTTCAACAAAAATATTTAAGTTCAGCAAAAACAAGCTTAAGTGAATAGAGTTTAAGTATCTAACACAAAATAGTTAAAATAAAGTCCACGCAAAAAGACTAGTTTTTTATGAGAGTGAGGGATAGCTTAAGTGGTTAGAGCTTCTCTCCCGATTTTAGAATATCTTGGGATCGATTCTTACTCTTACTCTTGTGACTCTCTAACACCCAAAAAAGACTAGTCTTTTATAGTTTTGTCACGTGACTTCACTATACTGCTAAATTTCATTTTACGCGCTATCTTAAAAATTTCAAAACATTTCATTTTTCAAATTTCGAACTTTTACACAAAAATCACAAAACCCCCCCTTTCTTTTTCATTTCTTTCATTCTGTCACCTCCATTTTTCTCTCTCTTCTCTGCAAATCTGGAGAGCTAACAAGCAAGAAGGCGAACGAATTTCCAGCAATTTTATTCAATACCCATCAATTTCAGGTACCTCCCCCAAAAAACCCTAATTTTTATTTTTCATATCTGAGCTCATTTCATCTTTAATTTCAATTCCACTTTGAATTGAATTGAAACCACATATAGGTAAATCATGGTTAGAGAGCAAAAAGTTGAAGCATTTTACTCAAAATTAAGGAATTCGGCTTTACAAGTGTCGAATTACTCCCCAGAATTGTTTGATTCTGCTTCAGCTTCATCCCCTTTGTTAATTTTTCCTTCTACTTCAGATGTAGATTCACTCTGTGCCCTAAAAATTGTTTTTCATATACTTGAATCGGATTCGATACAGTATGCTTGTTACCCGGTATCGTCTTTCGAAGAGATTCATAAGTATTTGGAGCCTAGTTTGAGCTTATCACCTGATACGCCTCTTACATTGTTGCTTATAAATTGGGGTTGTCATAGGGATTTGAGGAAGTTGTTGAGTTTGTCGCAATCGATTCGGGTTTTTGTTGTGGATAGTCACCGTCCTATTCATTTGCATAATTTAAGTGATGGGAATGATAGGGTGGTTGTGCTTTATACTAAGGATGATGAGGAACAGGCTGATTTGACCTATGATTTCGATATCTGGCAGTTGGCTAATGTGAGTGATTTGAATAGTGATGATGAAGGGGGGGAGGAGAGTGATGAAGAGGAGAGCGAGAACGATAGTGAGAGTGATGAAGAGGCAAGAGATGGCGATGAGGCCGGGTTGAATAGGAAGAAGAGGAGGGTTTCGGATGAAGGAGAAGCTGACCCAGATAAGCTTTTCAGAAAGTTGAAAAGACAGTATTATCAGATGGGTACATTTCATGGTAGACCATCTGGGTGTTTGATGTATGATTTGTCGCATTCTTTGAGGAAAAACACGAATGAGCAGCTATGGTTAGCTTGTGTGTCGATAACTGATCAGTTTGTACATGAGAGGTTGACCACTGAGAGGTACCAAGCAGGGGTTATGGAGCTGGAGCAGCATATCAATAGTCTTGGGAATTTGGATGCTGTTACCTCAGTAACTCTGAAAGATGGGACAAAGATTCGTGCTCCTGAGTCTTCTAGGATTGCATATGAGGATGAGCCGAGGTTGATGTTGTTGAGGGAGTGGAATTTGTTTGATTCAATGCTGTGCTCTTCTTACATTGCAACAAAGATGAAGACTTGGAGTGACAATGGGATGAAGAAAATTAAGCTTCTCTTGGCTAGGATGGGGTTTGCTCTTATTGACTGCCAACAGAAGTTTCAATACATGAATATTGATGTAAAGCGGAAAATGAAGGATGAATTTGAGCGATTTCTGCCCGAATATGGGCTCACTGACTTCTACTACAGAAGTTTTATGCGGCTTCATGGGTATAGCTCAAGGGTTTCTGCTGCAGATGTGGTGTATGGGGTCACTGCCCTTTTGGAATCGTTCATCAGGTTTGATGGTTCTTGTGCTTCTAAGCAATTTGGGGTTGCTTATGATGCACTGTCATTGAATAACTTGGATCAGTTGAGGCTTGGAATGCAGAACGCAATAAAGGTACAGCGAGCTATTCTAAGACAAGGAAGCACGGCTATAACCAAAAAGGGTTCAATAAGAAGTGGGAGGAAATTCAGGTGGGTTAAACTCGAAGATTCAGCAGACACCAAACTATTAGGATATCCTCAAGCATTGACTAAGTTCTGCTACTTCGTGATGGATGCATTGAGAGAGAAAGGGGCAAGAATGAAGCCTATTCTGTGTGCTTGTCTAGCACAAGAACAAGAAAAAGTGTTAATTGTTGGGGTGACAGGGAAGCCTCGACTTGGGGCAGTACAAGGTAATGCATTTGGCATGGCTTTCAAGAATGCAGCCCAGGAAATTGGTGCTGAATTCTTCCACGAGCTCTTCGAATCATCATGGATAATCTTGGATAGAGTTGCTGTCAATTCTTTCATGGTTAGGCTAACTGAAAAACTATAGTATAGGAAAACAGAATACTGGAATTTCTTTTCTCATATATTGTACTACTAGTAATTCTCAAGTGTAAACGTGAGTTGAATTGGCCCCTGTTAGCTATGTCTAATTACATTATTGCATTCGTGTGATCGTGTCTTATCATACTCTTGATTGTTGGAATGACTTATGAGCACTACAAGGTAGAGCTGACTAGCTGAGCAATAAACCAAAACTAAATTTCCAATTCATATTTTAGGTTTAAATTGTCTTACTTTGCCATATATCTACTAAAGTTCAGTAGTATGTTTTTTGTAAACTAATAATGGGTTTTGTCTCAATGTATATATTTAAAGAGCTTTTCTTTTGTTATTATTAATACAAGTAATATTGTTATTATTATGTTGATGATTATTATAATAATTATTGTTATTGTTTTTTTTTTTTCCTACTTTTAGATTATTAGAAATATTAATTTACATAGTTGTGCTGTGTTTCATCATATTCTTTTATTTTATACAACTGTCTGTTTACGTTGAGATAAACCCAATATTAGTTTACCAAAAAGCATATGATTTACTTTAGTAGAAATTATATTTCCTTAGATTAGTCTGATACTCTCAATATAAAAATTAAACATTAAGACAGAGTATCAGGGTTCACAACTAAACTTTTTTTACAAAAACCAAAAAAAAAAAGTGTGAATTGCATTGAGACTGAGAGACCTGAGACAGAGTATACTCTCAATTTATATGTTTTTCGTTAACTATTTTTTTGATTTTTTTTAAAGTAACTTACGGTAATACTAGATTGATGTTTTGCTGTTCACTACTTTTGGCTAGCAGATAGGATGTCCCCTGTCAAAGACTCAAAGTATGATCTAGTTTTGCAGTGTCTGATGAGTTTAATGGCTGATTATGTTAGGCTCTACCATAATTCGATCAACTGTAATAAAGTGAGCTAAAAATTATCACTACTTTGGTTTGTACTCTCCTCATCACTTAAGCATTGTTCCATTTGACTTTTCATGATCTCAAACTGCTTTATACTCTCTCGTTACTTAAATATTGTCCCATTTAACTATTTATGATCTAAACAAAAATCTCAATTGTACATCGCCAATTTAGCATGCAAAATTTTATAAAAGTTAGTATTAAAACGAATCTAACAAGATTTCACATGATTATATTATTTCCTATAGATAGCCGTCCCTTATTCTCTCCCTCTTCTCTTTTTGATCCTCTCTTTATTTTGTTCATGTTTTCTTATTAGCTTTGATAAATCTATGTTGTTTGAGTGCATTAAATTCCCTTATGCTATGATTTATTCAAGTTCAATTATTTGAAGTTTAATATAATGCAAATTGTTTCATAAGTAAAAGATTTGCTTGGGATAGAAAAGGAGGTTAGTTTTTCTTTTATAATCAGATGAATCAAATAAGAATTATCTTTATGATAGCTATAATAGATTGATAATCATGGTAAAGGAGGGAGAAAGAACAGGTATGAGCTAGCATGGAAAAAAAAAGAGCAACAACATGCAAGGAAAGCAACACTACTACAGGGGTGATGGTGAGTCGTTAGCGAATTGGCGATGGGTGAAGGCTTCGGTGATGGCATCAATAGGAGCAAAGAAGGAAATAGGAATTTGAGAGAAAGTGGAAGAAATTTATGCGGTTTTGGGACGGCAATTTGCTGGTATTTCTCGATTCAATCCTAAAAATTATCTTCAATGGCCATTACCTCATGCAAAACAACTAAATTTGCAACTGCATATCTAATATGCACCAGACAGGCCAGACCTCTATCAAGAGAGAATTTGATTGATTATTCCAGTTCATTAAGCATTCCCATTTACTTTGAGATGCCCTTTTTCAGTTCTATACCTATTCTGTGTGATCATAAAATAGGGCTGCTTTCAGCAGACTATTGGGTGCATGTGTACGTTAGCCTGAAGACAGGTGCAGATCAGAAAATCACCCACAGCAAGGGGTTGTGACTCGTTAGTAGCAAACCGGTTTATCAGAAGATTACCAATAGCAAAGGGTCATGAGTTGCAAACAAGAGTACTAGAGAATTAGCTACTAGTATATGATTTGTGATATATGTAGATTCACTAATTGATGTAAAGATAGAAGAAAATTAGTGCTCACATGTTCATAGACATACATGTGTGGCACAATTATGCACAATTTTATGTAAGAATGATATTCAGTAACCAAAGGCTATATACATTTGAATGATTTGACAATCACCAGAGCGGGTGAGGAGCAGAGAGGATAAATTGAATGTCGGCTTCATGCACAGCAAGCCCAATTGACTATGAAAATATACCGATTGAGATGTCATTGCTATTTTACTTCCAAAGAACATTTTCCTGACAAGGCAAGGATGTCGAACTCATGAGGCATGAAATCTTCACTCGGTCTGTAGTACTTATCAGGAGAGTATAAGCTCAAATTTGTTACTTGACTGGTGTAAAGACAGGCAAATCTCTCAACCTGCAAAAATAAACACGAACAAAAATGTCAGTGCTCGAACCTAAATGTTGTAAGCACAGTTCCAAAAACAGTTCCAACAAATTCCGTCATTATCTTCAGCAAAGAACAAAACAAAACTTCCCCCAAATTCGGTTATCCACTAGCACTAGCATCCAGCCACAAACATCGTCCTAGCCAGGTGAGATTACTCATGCCCTCACCCCAATGCTGCCCTGTGTCTACCCAATGAGTATGGAAGTACCTTTCTCTATGGCTTTACTCCCTACAATACCTTCCTTTCCCCTTATTTCATTCTTCAGTTTCTCTACGGCACAATTTGATACGAATATCTTTATGTTACCAATATCATGGGGTACTCCCAGAGGCACAACACCACAAGCAACTCCCTCTCCGGACCCCCACTTTATTACATGAGGACATCCTGGATGTAGGTTTTGGTAGGCTGGACCGCTGGAGTACCTAAACTTGGTTACTTCCATTGCCCTGATTTTGGATTTGTTTGATCAATATCAATACCTACTTCAGTTGAGTGATACAAATCAACATCAATATCTATATCTATTGCAATATTTTTATTCATATAATTTATTTGCTAATTATTAGGCATCTACTTAAGTGCTTCCTATATATGTTATCATATAATGAAATAGGAGTTTCCAAATATTCGTAGCGACTAAATTGAATGACAAGAGTCCTATGTGAGATTTAATCAATAAAAAGGTCAAACAGTTTTAATAACAGATTCTGTCGGGTGCAAGTAATATGACAGCACAGTGAGAATTAACGTATCAAAAAGTCAAAAAGCTTTAATAGCAGATTCTGTCAGGCAAAGTAATGTGATAGCATGTAGAATGTACGATGCAGTGTGATTAGAAACCACACAACATCATTGGATTAGGAACTGGACTGAACAAGAAGCTATAAAGCACGGAAAATGACCTAAATTATAAATTCAAGCTTACCTGGTGTGCAAAGCGAGAATTCTGATAACCAGTTTTCATAAGTTGTCCCCAGACCTTGTGAAACTGATATTAACAAGAAAAGATTGTCAAAAGGCTAAAAACATAGCGAAACCATGGGTCAGCACTTCATAACCAGCAACATAGAGATTTTACAAGAGACCCTATGCATAAGCAATTAACACATTTATTTATTTGCAACTATGTCCCAATTTAGTTTGATGAATATTTGCATGTCACGCAATCATTTAATAATCCCAAAGGCCAAATGTTTGTAGGAAAGACAATTAACTAACCATCCAATGGAAGTACTTTGAAAAGTTTCACGCAAGAGGAAAAAAAAAAGAAGACTTTACATCAAAGTCTGAAATGGCGACCAAAAAAAAAGATGGGTATCAAACAAACCATCTAACCTTTTGGTGGCTTTTACAGAGGATCTGTTGATGATCTAGTCGAACCTGCTCTCTTTGTGACTAACAATTAAAGCCAATATAGATATGGTCAGGAAGCAGTCACAATAAAGTGCACTATAAGTATAGAAGAAAGAAGACAACGATCTAATTTTCCAAAATAAAAAGTTTGTAGTATGTTGATGCACTAAAATGTTTTCAGACATCTAAACTTCTTAACCTGTAATTCAGTAAGCAAAAAAATGTCATGAACTAATAATGTCCTCATAACTTCACCAGGGGTGATTAGAATGATCAGCAACATTTGGATATACCAGAATGTTTTCACCTATTAAATTCTATTTAAAATACACGAAGTATATGATAGACTGAAGAACTGTTATTAATGTTATTTTCATCAATCGAAGGCACCAACAGTCACAATAGGTCAATAGTAAATAAGAACAATTTGCATATATACCTCCAAACTGTCAATGGCAGACAATATTTTTTGCTTCTGATCAACTTCGAGATCATCAAATCTGTATAAATGAGAATTGTATCAACAGAAATAAAGAATGCAAAAGATAGAGTACATAGATTCATCCCCCCCCCCCCCCCCTCTTCTCTCTCCCCCTTCGGCCTCCTCTCAAAAAAATTTTAAAAAATAATTATAAAAAAAACCACATGTTCTCTAGCATGTAAACACAATCAATGAAGAAGTGCATGTAAACAATATAACCCAACTACATGCAAGATAAACATATCATGCAGCAAGCAGGTCCACTAAATATGTTGCAAAAATGCAAACTAAGCAGTCTGATTGTAACACCCTCTTGTTTTTCAATGACAAGAAATATTTAACTGTAAAAAATCACATTAAAAATTTACAAACAAGAGAGCATGATATTCTCATAGGGAAACACGGGTAAAAATAAAAACACATCTACAAATTAGGGGTTTTTCTCCCAATTCCTTCGCATCTCCCCATTTAATAATTCAGAAAAGCCCCAAACACCTTAGCCTATAAAGAAGCCAACAACAACTAGGAAAATTAAGAGATGTGGCATGAATCCATGTTGGTGCTCTGACTTTCTTTATATTATTTACTGTAGTGCCCCACAGTTGACTCCATTAAGTGGCTTGTTTGAAAAATGAGTCAAGTACCTTTAATTGTTTATTGGTGACAGAAACATCAACATGCAAAACAATTTCCACAAGAAATAGAAGTGCTTAAATACACAGCAGTGGCAAGAATATTTACACATCAGCTGAAAACATAGGGCACCAAATTTGAATTATGACAAACCTCAAGAAACCAAGGTGAGTTTTTATTTTTTATTTATTTTTTTTATAGTATTTTCTTGGAGATGTAATTATAACAAATGGCAAAGTGAAAATCAGTATTATAATCAAGGATAGCATAAAAGCCAGGCAAAATGAACTCTATACTTTAATGAGTTTTTTGTTTTTACCTCCGTCCAAATTCAGTTGTCAATTTCTAGCTCAAACCAAGTTATCAGTTTTTCAA